GTTACCCAAACTTAAATGTCCATGCTTCCCAGTAAGCATAGAGGAAGAAAATTGTGGCCCCATTACTACAGATATATTTTCTTGGTCCACAGTGATCCAATGGAGTAAAAACCAAATAAATAGCGAACTTTATTTAATTCTACTTGGTCTTAAATTTAAATAACCAGGAAGATCAAGGTCTGTTTACGTAAGACTTTAAACTTCATACCTTAGGGTTGGCAGGATTGTCAAATTGTTGAAGCATGTAAGAATTAGGTGTCTTTTTTAAAATCTCTTCAGCTTTCTGAACTGCTCCCTTCATGCCTTTTGCTGGATCAGTTAATACAAGTTCAGCTCCAAATGCCTTTAGAAGAACTCTCCTCTCCATACTCATCGATGATGGCATTGTTAATATTAGTTTGTATCCCTTTGAAGCAGCAATAAATGCAAGACCAATTCCTGTGTTTCCACTGGTAGGCTCAACCAAGATACTCTGCAAATACACAAGAGAAACATGTTATTGAGTATCTGGCCCAGAGCAGAAGATTTTTGCACTTATATCAACCAAAAATTGGAAATATTTAGGTAAGTGTTTCCAAGTTCTGAAACAAATTAGTGCAAGATCCCCGTCACGGAAGGTTTAGAACTAGGCGATGCTATCAGTGAATTTTGCATGCTCTTAAGTCCAATAGAGCCCTTTTTTCTTTATTTCTTTCGGTCTTTTTTTTTTTTACTGAAAACCCAATACAGGGTTCTTTGATAATATAACTATGTAAATGCTTCAATTCCAAAAAAAAAAAAAAAAAAAAAACAAAATTAAGATCACGATTATGATGGGAGATAGGCAATTATATAAATATGTCATCACTTATCAGCAGTTTTGATATGTTACTGTGCAAGTTCTCTTTGTTGATAGAAGTATCTCAAATGAGAAGTGCAGTTCAATTTTTTTAAATAATCATGAGAAGATCCATATTCTTAAGTATACATGACACTCAGACAGGACATTAAAACAATTCAGTCCTAATTCTAAGACAAGCTGCTGAAGAATACTGTAGTCATATTTTCAGTAAATGTTGTGGTGTAAAATGTGGTCTGAAAATAGGTTAAAAACTACAAATGCATGTGAAGAAAAGGATATAAAGTATAGTTTATTCAATAATACATTTTTATCCAAATAACAAATGTAATGACACATAATTTTCAAGAAACATGAAAATTACGTCTCATATATACTACCTTTCCTGGTGTAATGAGTCCTTTCTGCTCAGCATCAGATATCATGCTATTACCAATCCTGAAGACATTTATTAGTACAGATGGTGAGAAGATGCAACCATTCACTGATAAGTATAAACAGTATGGCTCGCATGATCATATTAGCTTAGCTTCACGAGATAATCCATTTACAAAGACATGTAATCATCCTGCTCAATAGTTGGCCTACAGAGAAATACAGTATGTCATACAACAATTCACCACTTGACTTCCTACTGCTATTTTTCTCACCTGTCTTTGACACTACAACATGGCTCCATTATTTCAAGCTTAGCAGCAATGTTGGCCACAGATCCCTTGACGATATTGTTCAGGTAGACCATGGGAGTCTTACCTATCAGCTGCATCACAGAGAAATGAATTTTTAATGTAAAGAGACATGGGGTGAAGCTCAATCTATTCAAACAATATAAGGGAACAGATTGACCAGATGGATGTTATTTACTATCTTAAATTCTGAAAGACAGTTGTTCCTAGACAATCCTAACATGATTCTTTCGGCGGCTGAAGTCTGATTGCTTCATGATCCCCAAAAAATCAGGGGGGAAACGCCAACCCAGTTGGTTCATCACTTAGTATATCAGAGAAGACTGCTTACTATTGACTTAACAGCAATCAACGAAGATCACTACAACACATTCTATAAAACTCAAAGAGTTCCTTCCTACTTATATTAGAAAAGAGAAAATGATAAAACTATCGGTATGGCACCAAAATCACCGTAATGGAGGATGTTATCGTTTCAATCTGAAACGGTATCCAGAACTATAACGCTACATCAGTGCACCACATAAAAAGTTTTGGATATCTAAAATATAATCAGTTTTCAGCATGATGCAGACCAAGCCGACTCCTAGGCACGAGCATGTTATACAAAATTGCAAGAAACGAAAAAACTGAGTTCTGAGAACACTTGTCGAGGCATAGTTCAACAGAATGAGAATAACATAAGCATGAGATTAGATTTCATTTAGCCAAGCAATCAAGAAACCTAACATCCCAATGGCAATGAAAAGGCAGGTGGTCCATTAACCATCATCTTTACCTGAGTTACATCTTCGGCGATGTTGAGGCCTTCAATCTCAGTCTGCGGTTTAACAGACACCGCCTTACAAACAACAGAGACAGAAGACGAAGAGACCGCCCCATACAAATTGTTCTTCTTGGACTTAAGAGACGAAATGCGTCCCAGAGTTTGGCATCTAGAATTCGCCGAAGAATTCAAGAAGAAGACGTCTGATTTGGCGCCGGAGTTGCAGAGAGGGGAAATCAGGGAGTTGATCATAGAAGCGGAAGCCATTGGCTGGAAGGATCTACTCAAGCGCTCTCCTCCTTCACTCTATTCTCTAATCCACCAAGCAGAAATGTTCGCCTCAAGTTCACAATGACAGCCTTTGCGATGTTTCCATTCGAGATTTTTTCTTTTTTTTTCTTTTTCATTTTCATTAAAAATTAAAATTAAAATTAATACATTTACGCTAATATTATATTTAAAAAATTATTCATAAATTTTTAAAATTAACCTTAACAATTTTTTATCTTTATAAAAAAAAATTACATTATAAGTAAAACTATTCAAGTAAAAACTTAAATTCGTTTTGGATTATGGAAATGTCCATTTTACCCTTTGGGTCGAGGACCCGCCTTGTTTGCGGTGGAAATCCTTATTTTAGTAGAAAAATTATTCCCTATCTCCGACATGCCTCGTTCCTTAGCTCGTTCCACTCCACTCAATTATATCTATTAGTTAATAAATAAAGGAATATATGTATTTAAAATGAAATTTAAATTTTTAGAAATATTTGTTTATTTATTATGATGATTTTATATTTTTTTAATAGAAATTATATTAAAAAAATGTAATTATTTTATATATTTTATATATTTGTTAAATGTTAAAAAGACAATATTCGAAATTTTAAGATGTAAGAACAAAAAAAAATCATGAATTTTAAGATTCGAAATTTTGAAATGTCTTTGTCAAAATTTTGATCCACACATTATGTGCCTTCAATTAATGAACGGTTCATGACAAAACTTAGCTTTAGGTTCGTTTTCTATCTCCAATTCTTAATTTGTCTAAAAATAAACTTTGAACAGCAATTATATTTTTGTTAAAAGGAACGGACATGAATTGAGAGGAGATATTTTGTAGACCCTCATTCAATTATTTGGATATTAAATTTTTTTAATTCAAATAAATTTTATTAAATAATGAACCCAATCAAATTTAAATTGTGTGATGATTTATTCATTTTTTTTTTAATAAAAATAAAATATTATGTTGTAAATTAACTATTTATTTATTTTCAATAACTTAATTTAATATATATTTTGAAAAATTACAATAACTTAATATATATTTTGAAATATTACGGTCCAAATATTTAAAATTTATTTTCTAAGAGTTATTTATGATAAAAAAAAAGTCACAAAAATTAATTATAGATAAAACAAATAATTGTATGGTAAGAAAACGGTATATTTTTTAATTAATAATTAATTTTTATTAGTTTGGAGTCGAAACCACATTAAATAAATTGAATTGATCATAAACCATACTTAATCCAAACCGAATGAGTTGAGTTGAATTGATCCCAACTCAAACTAGAATTTTTTACAAGTTCATAATTCAACCCAAACGGCACATATACTCAAACAGACAGCACGGCACATATAGAATTGGATTGGTCCTAAGATTTGGAAATTTTAAAGTCTTTTTACTCTTTATATGTTGCACATTATTATATGTATTTTTCAAATCAGAATTTGAGCTACAATAAAAGCTGTCGTTCATGGATTTAGAGTATTTTGAAAACCTTTTTCTTGCTTACATACAATAAAACTTGCCTTTTAATCGCATTTTTTCTTCCCTTCGCATGCATTATCCTAAAGGAAAATGGAACAGACTGGTTGTTACTCTCTGGGTTGAATATTTGCAGCTTTGTATCACCTGGTTGTTAAATGACTTGCTTCGTCCCATTGATCCGATCTCCTACGACCATTGATCCGATCTTCTACGACATAGACCGCTCCTACTCTAGGAAGCCAAGAGTCGAAACAACAATCAATACTTGAATGCAAATTTAGAAGAAAAAGAAGGCGAGGATCGAATACGCCATTTCAAGACTAGAAATTCTATAAACATTACAGAACAAATGCCCCTTTAATTCTTCACTTTCTCAAAGAATCTTGAAAGTGGCACGGGGCCATCGGCCTCTTCATCGTCGCTTGAAGAGTGCTTGGTTCTAGACTTGTGCTTCTTTTCCCTCTTCGATCTCTTTGATCTGGATCTGGATCTGGATCTTCTAGATTCTCTTTCTTCTTCGTCGCTGCTGGATGAATCCGAGGGTGAACATGAGGAGCTAGACTCGGATGATTTCCTCCTCGAATGCTACGACAGAAAAAGTAAAATGGACTGATTTTTACATCATTTTCGGTTTCTAAAAAACGAAGCATATAAGATGGTTGACATGAGAATACTTCGATGCTATCGATATGACCATAGTAACTTGAGTGGCGTGTCGACGAGGTTCAGCAACATTTTTCAGCTCAAATTTAGCAAACAATATCAAAAAGAAATATAGCAGAATGGGGCAGTAAGAGTTGGAAAATGTCAGCACCTTTCTCCTTTTTTTGCTCCGCTTCTTTAAATCTCTGTTCTTCCTTTCTGTAATGCTAATCACTTTAGAAGATCTCATGTATCTAATTAATATCAAAATTCATCAAACGTACCCTTTTCATGACCACTCTTGCTACTAGAACAATTTCTTCCCTGAGCAAGTTTACGTGCCCGCTCAGCATCCAATTGCGCTCGATATTCTTTCATCATTCTATCTGTATCTGCTTCTAGCTCTCCCTTTTTCAACTCATCTTCCTGTAGCACCAGACGCCGCATGAAGATGTCAGGTAAACTAGTTAATAATCATGGCAACAAACAATTCCCCATGATGTTAAACGAAGACAGATATGAAAATATACGACACCGAACAGTTGTCCGTGAAGAAGCAAAACTGTCATACTTAATGTAATCATAAGTGATTACTTTATTAGTGATAAGAAAAAGAATGTGCTGGTTATATATTGACAAGACATCAATATAATATGGTCGAGGACGGTGTGTATAATCCTCGTACGTTACCAATTATATGTTAAATACACTTGGGCAAAGAATTCGGTCCATGGAAACTTACCTTTTGCTTCTTCTTATATTCCTCCCAGGTAATCGTGTGAGACGTATTAAGGCTGGCCAAACGAGCAGCATGCCACTCTGGTGAATGAAATGAACCATCCACCTGAGACAGTCCTCATCAATAACAATAAAGGAGAAGATAATATCCCTAATATACTGATAAATAATTTAGCATCAGAATTTCAACTAATGTACAAAGAAAATACAAATAAATAAAAAATCTTACTTCATTAATAAAAGGCCTCTCATCAACCAATTATCCAGGGCTAACTTGGATTTGCTCTCCAACAGATCATATAGCCATCAAAATGAACATCCAAGCAGTGACAGAGTCAGACTACTTTATCGATGGTTCATAAAGGGAAAATAACTATTTATTCATATTCTTATGCAGGATTACTATGCTATTTCTAAACGGAAGTTGCATAACTCAAGCCAATATATCACTTAAATCAAGGCATCATTAAGTTTCGTTACCGAAATGAGCTTCGTCTTGTTTCTTTAGAATTTTCAATACAAGAGAAGTAGCGACTCGATTCCAATGGCATCAGATGCAAAGGATACAGGTGTTTAAAATAAACTAAAGCTAGATAAAGAAAAGTATGAACTCAGAATGAGTATAATAATGACAACAAAGGATTTGAGAAAAACAATCCTTCCCAATAAAATGTCAGACTTTACAGTCACGATATCGAAAACAAGAAAGTGATGCAACAGAAATGCCGGGGAGGGTGGGGAACGACACCCGGCGCTAATTTAGAAGATTACGAACCCCCCGAGTGCCCCAAGAAAATATTAATCGATACTACAACAAAGAAACCACAAAATGTCACCTTCTCAAAATATTCTTCTATTTGCTGCGAGACTTATATGTTTTGTGGAACCTAGGAAAAAGAAGAATGCAATAGATATATATGTTTTTAATCGATAAAACATTATACAAATCCAATCAATCAAGTAAACTTAAACCTTAGTCAACTTATCATGAATCTACAGCTAAACTGACATTTTATTACATTCAGAGACCCATTGAGTCTACTAAAACAGAGTAAATAAAATTGACTGATTATAAACTTCCCTAGCATGAAAATGCCACCGATCGAGTCGGTATAAAATTGAACATCATGAGAGCGATTTTTCAATTATGACGGTCTCAAGGAAAGTGACTAAGCAGGGGGAGTAGTGTGGAAGGGTACAAACCATTCCATCTTCAATTTCAACCGGCCCAGCCGAACTTGAGGATCCCAGCCTGGCTTTCTGCATCGCTTTGTATGCTTGATTCTTACCCATTTTGAAATACGGCCAGGCAAGAAATCTGAGGAAAAATCATAGAAGAGATCCAACAACGTCCAGACACTTAACGAAGATCGAAAATAAATTCCAAAAAGATACAAACACAGAGTATTAAAGGTAGTAAAGACAATTAAATAGGATAAGGTTCTTCTAGACTCAGAACTAATAAAGATATTGATGCTTCATTTATAACACCGCCCTCCCCTCGAGTCAATTCAGCTCCTCACTTTCACTTGGGAGAGTGCATGGAATCTAAAAGAAAATTATGAACATTGTGCAATTTGTTGGTCATTTCCTGTCAGGTAGTTTTCCTTCCTACGAAAATTTTCAGTATATTTGCAATGCATACATAGTTTTACACGAAAATAATAACAATTTGGGCATAAATCTATGCAATGACTATAAATATTCGAGATAACTTCTTATACCGAACAGACCAAGCACAAGAAAGACCACAAACACCCGACATTAACTGAATTCAAGAACACGCATTAAAAATAATATCACTCAATCTCCAGAAAATTGGAACCATGAACGAACAACAGATGAAGTTGAAATGCAGCCAAGAAAATCGGCCTTTAGGTGCAATTTCTTAAGAATTGATAATAGAATCAAAGAAAAGTGAAATTCACAAGACTTGAGAAGCTACCAAATCGAGATTGTGTAAAGAATGCGAACCTGAATGTAAACCCTAGAGGGTTCTTCAAATGCAACCGCCAATCGGAGTCGCCAGACTCGAATCTGAAAATTATCCCGACACCGATTTGCAAATCTAACCCTAACCTCAACCCAAACAATAAAGATAAAAAGTTCTACTCGTATATAATACTGCTAATATGTTACTAATATAGTATTCATACACTCTATTATCGACATATACTTTATATCGATATACTGATATTACTCATACTCTATTAATTGTTGCATTACGCGCTATTGATTGGGAAGTCTTTTTGGTCCATCCCAATTCAGACCTAACTTTGGGATAGTTAAGGTTGTCTGTCATCATATACGTATTATTAATAACTAAAATATTATAAAATATTTACAAGTTACAACAAACATAAAATATTCTTAATATTTACAATAATCTTAAAAGTATGATTGGATCGTAACCATATTTTTCGGTTGGTCGGGTTGATCCAACAAAAAAAAAGATGTCAACCCATTTGAAATTTTGTTGTTTCACCCCAATTTCAACCCTATCAAACCGAAAATATGTATATACACCACGTGAAATTTCGCCGGAGAGAGAGAAACGAATTGAAAACCGGTCTCAAATCACTTCACAATCGAAAGTGAAAGCGGGAAAAAGGCGACGAAACCCTTTTTTTCTTGTCAACCGACTTGTTAGGAGTAGGGGCTTTCTTGTACCACCATAAACACCCAAACATTACACCAATTGTGGTTGGACCAACCGTTTCCAGAATACAGTTGTCATGATGTTCATCTATATATAGAGTCATCTGAACACTCATAATATATTATATTAAATATATTAATGACCTTAAATAAATCGAACCAAATTTTTTTGATTTTTTAAAAATTTAATTCATTTCAAATTGAAAAAATAAATATAATCCAACCTCATGGTTTGGGTTGAATAATTAAAATTAGTCGAATTATCGAGTCATATGAACCCTCTAATAAAAAGAAAATTAAGCATCATAGAGTAGAATAGGGTTGAATTGGACTAAATGTTCGAAATTTTTTAAAATTTCATTTCAATTCAATTTAAACCGAGAAAATTATTTATAATTTAGATAGAATAATAAGAAAGGATGAGATTAAAAAATAAAATAAAATAAAAATAAAAAAGCTGAAAGATTTTATATATTTTTTTTAATATAAGAAAATTAAATGAATTAGTTGAACGACTAAAATAAAGATGTCCTCCGGGCATTGTAAATTGCGACTTTCTGGGGGTTCTAAAATGCAATTATCCATTAAATAAAAAAAGAAAATGGGGCCCAGACAATGACAGGTCAACCGCAATAATTTATTGATCTGGACTATGTTTTAAATTTATTAACTATCGACGATATTAATGACGGACTATAAAAAGGGAACCATCTCTTTTATTTCTAAAATACCCTAATCATTCTAACTAATTCCCGCTATGTCCCTTGACTCTGAATCATCTCCTTCCTCGACCAGGGACTGGTTCTTCCCTCCACAATCCTTCCTACACTCTTACCCCGCCAAATCTCCAACCTACATCCGTCGATTTTCTGAAACTTCTCGGATATCGCGGCGCTATGCCGATCATCAGAGGTATCGGAAGAGTTCGTCGTGTATTTCTGATTCGCATTCGTGTTCATCGACCAGTAATGATGCCAAGTTTGCTCGTACTCGACGGAGAATTGATTTCGATCGCCGCAGCGACCTGTCGCTTAAACGTTCCGAATCGGAATTTTCTTCGAAACGGAAGTTGGAGCAGTCCGACGTCTCGAGCTCGGCGAAGAAAGTGTCTGATACCTCGCGTTTGTTTAGGTCGTTTGACAGTACGCTGAAAGTTCGATGGCGATTTTTGGCTATTGCTGCGTCGGTTTGTTCTCGCTCTCCATCTTTTTCAACTTGTCTTGAGTTATTAACGATTTGAAGTTGACGTGCTTGTATTTGTGTAGATTTTTATCGTGATTTTTGCAACATTGTTGCATGAAAACTCATCTTTACAGGAGCAAGTCAACGGCTTAGAGGTACTCAGTTTGCAAATTACGATTTCGGTGGAGTTTGACTCTCATTTCATATAGCTTTTTACCTTTCTTGTTTCTATGAATTCAACGGGCTTTTCCACTGCTTGCGCTTATTACTCCCTTTATGTAAGTTGCTTTCCACCTGCAGGCACGGATTTCTAATCTTAACATCAAATTACGAGCGTGTAATTTGTTCGACTCTGGAAGTGAAGATGATGTACGTTCACCGGACGAACTTGCTGATTTTATGGATAAAAGATTAAAAACTTTAGCCTTAATCGCATCTCTTACACTTCTGTTGGCTCCTATTGTTATCCTCAAGTACATTGACTCTAAATCAAGATCATTGGAGCACAATTTGGAAGAAGTTTCACTCAATAAGCAGCTTTTGTATAAGGTGGATGTTTTTTTCTCTGTTCACCCATATGCTAAGCCACTGGCATTATTGATAGCAACTCTACTACTAATTATGCTTGGAGGTTTAGCACTCTTTGGAGTGACAGATGATAGCTTAGTCGATTGTCTTTGGTTATCTTGGACATATGTTGCTGATTCTGGAAACCACGCCAACTCTGAAGGTATTGGTCCAAGGCTAGTTTCAGTTTCCGTTAGCTTCGGTGGGATGTTAATATTTGCTATGATGCTTGGCCTTGTATCCGATTCAATATCTGAAAGGTTTGACTCACTTAGAAAAGGAAGAAGTGAGGTTGTTGAACAAAATCACACTTTGATCCTTGGATGGAGTGATAAACTGGTAAAAATCTAATTTCTATTCATCCTATGCTGATATTTCATTTACTAAAAGCTGTGGAAATAAGTTGTTTGGTTTATGCTTTTATAATAATTACTTGATGCAAATCTGGTGCTTAGAGTAGTTATATCACATTGCTAATTCATCTTCTTCTCATTTTCTGTTTTCAATGCTATTACATGGATCTAGGGGTCACTTCTGAATCAAATTTCTATAGCCAATGAGAGCTTAGGAGGAGGAACTGTTGTGGTGATGGCTGAACGAGACAAAGAAGAGATGGAACTTGACATTGCTAAAATGGAGTTTGATTTTAAGGGAACCTCCGTTATTTGCAGAACTGGAAGCCCATTAATTCTGGCAGACTTGAAGAAGGTACTTCTATGTAATGCACAAACGTTGCGGTGCTGATATTGTCTTCCATCTGTCAAAGTTTTCTAAATAACTCAAACTAGTTGTAGCCCCTGTACTTGGTCAACCAAACTAAAATCTTTAGTTTATTAACATGAAGTCAGAGTCATCTAATGAATCATAACTAGGAAAAGAAATTGGCTTCTGTCCCGAACTTACGGATTTTGATAGTGTTTCTACCAGTGACTAATTGCTAGTTTAAATTTTAAAAATTTTGTGAATGGTTAAAAAGACAACAGCGAAAAGGAGCCTCTTTAGGCTTTTAATCAGGAGCATCTTCTCATCGTGATAGTCAGACCCATACAATGTCTTTATGGTTCATGAATACCATAAACTTCCAAATGTGCATATGATTATTTACATTAGAATTTTTGCTACCACCATGTATACAGGTCTCAGTGTCAAAGGCCCGTGCAATTGTTGTCATTGCTGAGGATGGAAATGCTGATCAAGTAAGTGGAAATATTGGTATCATTGAGTTATGATGCTCGATTTTTATTTGATATATGTATGTCGCAGAGCGATGCCCGTGCATTGAGAACTGTTTTAAGTCTAACTGGAGTTAAAGAAGGTCTGAGAGGACACATAGTGGTGGAACTTAGTGATCTTGATAATGAGCTTCTTGTTAAACTTGTTGGTGGAGAGCTTGTTGAAACTGTTGTGGCTCATGATGTGATTGGTCGCCTGATGATTCAATGTGCTCGCCAGCCAGGACTTGCTCAGGTTTTTATCAAGTTAAACGCTCTTGTTTTCTTTTTTAGATAGAATAAAATATTATCTCCATGCTTCTCAACGTTATTCTCATTGATCAAATGTATGTTCTGCCTTATTAGTTCATATAATAATTCTTTTCTACACCTTCTTATGAGTGACTCGTGTATTTCTTTTCATGCGGTTGTAGATTTGGGAAGATATCCTTGGTTTTGAAAACTGTGAATTCTACATCAAAAGATGGCCACAATTGAATGGCATGCAATTTGAGGACGTATTGATCAGCTTTCCTGATGCAATTCCTTGTGGAATCAAGGTTGCATCACGAGGTGGTAAAATTGTACTGAATCCTGAGGACTCATATGTCCTGCAAGAAGGTGATGAAGTTCTTGTTATAGCAGAGGATGATGATACTTACGCACCAGCTGCATTACCTACGGTGCTTTCATT